CGAGAGTTCTGAAGTGCATCTCTACCCATTGTTGACCATGTGATGCTCTGAAACACAATAATCAGCATTTCAACTGCTTGGAAGATCTCTGAATGGATCGTTTGCTGTGCCTTATGCCTTGTTGATGGATCCATCGTGATGCTGGCATACCTGCATTTCGTTTCTGGAAGCATGGGTGTGTTTGGAGGAGGTGTGAAGAAAAGTAACACCCATGTCACACTACAAACAGGACTCTGAATGGATTTTGCTTAATGCCCATGCTTCCAGTCTTGGATTGCCTTGAATCTCCCTTCAGCTGACTGTTGTCACTGTAATACCCACTGCTCCCTTTTCTTTGATTGATATTGCATTTGTTAACATGGCAAATGATTGATTTCCTCGCAGGGATGGCAGCAGGAGCGTGTGGTGAAAACATTTGAGAATGAAGGGGGGCGGATCATTGAAGTCAAGGCAGAAGATCCACAGATGCGGAGTTCGAAGGTGTGCAATTCACTATGAACAACTCGTTATTCAGAGGATGTTGCATTTGTTTGTTGCAAGGGTTGCTCTAACACAGCGGTCTGTGGAGAAGCAGGAAAGAATGCTACCTTTCTAAAGTTTTTTTTCTTTTTCTTTTCTTTTCAAGTCATCCTTGCGCAGGGGCCCTTCCGAAGGGGCCATGCTAATCTTCTCTGTACCGTTCCAATTTTAACAAATCTCCCAATTTGAGGAATCAAGCATTTTCAGAGCCTTTACGAAGGTCATAGATGGGTAGTCATGGATGTGTGATGGTCAGGTGACGGGTCTGCGGGTCAGCAATTTGCTGCTTGCATTTGTTACTGAGATGCTGGTCTTTTTTTCTTTTTTTCTTTTTGGGGGGGGGAGGGGAGGGGAGAGGGAGGGGAGGAGGGGGAGGTTCAGATAGGCTTTGGTGGCCGAGTGGTCGTAACAACTCTTGGGGAGGCCGGCCTCTCACATACGCAAATGATTTGAGGCACCACTGAATGCACTCATCATGTCTGCTTGGTCTCTCAATTAGCACATGCAGACATATAGTTGCCCTATATATTCTGAATGAATTCAATGGAGAATCTTGATCAAGGGCAAGCAAAGATAAACCATCAATACGACATCACCCCCTTCTCATCTTCACCAGCAGAAATACTTTGGTGGACCACTGGCTGCCACTACTCTCCACCGGAGGTCTCCTCCAATGGAGAGATATACCATCGACAAAGACAAGTAAATCATCATCAACCACTCAAACGCTCTCTATCTACATAACATGAATGAACTGACCAGCAAGAAAGTAGCAGTTTTGAAGCCGTGTAGATGCAGGGGCCTGACAGCACAATCACTCCTGCAACCGGCCATGTGGAAGACGTCACCTCCAGATCACCTTTCCAATCTCATAAAGTTATGGACCAAATGTCCGTGTCTGATTTATTTTTAGTTGTTTTCTCACGTAATTCTGAGCGTGAGATATCGCTGAAGTTGGGGTGGTCATCTTTTTGGAAACATCTGGCGACCACCCGTGGCTGGTGGGGCTACCAGTCCATAGCTCTCCCCCGTATCACCATGGACTCGTTCTAATGTCAATTTCAGAGCGGCAAGGGGACTGGTGCCTTTTTTTTTTTTTAAATAGGTAGTGGTATTTCCATGGTTGCCCCAGACCCGGGCATCCAGACACCAGACACCGGACACCGGGACCAGACCTGTGTCTGGATTAATCCGGACATACGGACCCGGACGGTCCGGTTATGAAGGAACAGGTCTGGATGTCCGGATTAAACACACACACACACACAGACACACGCTGCTGTAGGTGTATTATCCGACTTATCTTTAACACACTGACATACACACACAGTGTTGCGCGAGCGCACACACCCACACACAACCAGTTCTCCTTGGCCCGCTGAAGCTCACCCAAGATTGCAATTACAGGCCCTTCAGGGCTGGTCCGGTTGGCCCAACAGTCCACCAAAAACTGCGCCAAACGAATTTTCGGGGGTCCTCCAGGCACTTGGAAATCACCTGGGGACCCAAATTATTTTTCCGAATTTTCTAGAAATGGGCCCCAACCGGACCCCCCAAACTGGACACCGGATCCGGACATCCATTCTGGACCGTCTGGATCCTGATCCCGACATCCGGTTAACAACCATGGGCATTTCACTCACAAGCAGTGCTGCAAACCCGGTAGGACCGGGGGCCCCTCCCCCAACCGGAACCGGACCGGTCCTACCGGCCAGTCGACCGAGCCAGTTCCTCCCCGGTTGGCTGTAGCGCATCAATTTTTTTTTTTTTTTTCAATTTATTTTAAGCCCAGTGTGTTGTAGAGGCCAAGGGCTGGACCCCCGGTGATCGCTGGCAGTGGCAGCCGGTGGTTGTGCTGACAGGATAGACAACCTTCCCAACCCTTCCCCACGTTCATGCTTCCAGCGCACCCCCTATCCCTACTATCCTACCTCAGTGTGAGCAGCACTCAGGACCATCACCCTACCAGTATCGAGGGCAACTTGGACCAGACAGCAGTGACAAGTACCCCCTAACACTATCACCCCCACCCCCTTTTTCAAAGTTTTTGGGTGGGAAGTACCGTCCCTCCCCTGCCACTAACACCTCCAGCCCCCTTTCAAAGTTTTTGGGGGGAAGGTCAACGTTTGCAGAAAGCCAGGCACATTGAGGTCAATGTCTGCTGAAGCCCGTGCTTGCTGAAACCCCTCCACTAACACCCTCACCATGAACCCCCCAATCCCCCACCCTCAACCTCTGAAATAACACCCCCCCCCCCCAAAAAAAAAAAAAAAAAAAAAAAAAAAAAAAAAAAAAACACAAACGAAGCTTCTCTGTTCAAAATTTTCTTTGCGGATTCAGGGAGATCTCGGCAACCGCAGTCCAACCATGTTTTCAATATTCTTTTTTCTTTTTTTTTGACCCACTTTTGGGCCCAACCGGAATTCCGGTTGGACCACCGGGGGTCCAACCGGCCGGTTGTCGGCACAGCCATGCTCACAAGTGGTTAACAGGGCCCGCCAGTTTTCAGCCCCAGGTTAACAACCCCAACACTGAAAAGTTCTTTTTTTTTTTTTTAATTTGTTTTGTTTTTGCCCTGTTTTATTTTTGGTCGAGGTCTGCGTGTGCCAAGTTTGGTGTTTGTTGGGGTCTTGGAGATGACTGTTTTGGCCAGCCTTGAAAATCCTTTAAAACTGAAAAGTGTTATGATCCTGGGCAAGTTCAAAGTACACATTCATGAGAAATTACAATGCCGTCCAATTGCAAAAAGAATGAATGAACTTGAGAGGAGAGAGAGGGGAAGAAGAAGAAGAAGAAGAAGAAGAAGAAGAAGAAGAAGAAGAAGAAGAAGAAGATTTACACCAGCAAAACCCAATGATAATTTCCTTCTTCTCTCCAACCACTCTCCGCCTCCTTTTCTCCTCCCCTCTTATTCAAAGAATAAATAACAATAATAATGTTGAATGGCTGAACCAGAGTCAATGTCCGAATCCCTCTTCTACTGCAGGTACAACACGAGGTCCACCATAGCCATGGTGTGGCATACTGCGTAACCACATGGGCCTGCAGGGCCCGACCAGCGTTCGCAGCCTAAAAGCCTGAAAATAAGGGCTTACAGGCCCTGTGTCGTTTCAGCCTGAAAGCCTGAAAACGAGGACCTGCAGGCCCCATGTCGTTTCAACCTAAAACAGGGCTGTCCAGGCCCTGAGTCTTTTCAGCCTGAAACGGAGGGCCACTTTCGGGCCCTCATAAGATCGACTGGCCCTGACACTTCGGCACCAAACCAGGGTTTTAGGAACAGGCTATTTTGGCCTGTTCCCACGACAGCCTCAGCAGCAGTTGCAGCGCCAGGCCCTGGCTCACTTTGGCATTGACAAGAGCAGGCTCCTGGACTGCCCCGCCCTGCAACTGCAGGCAGTCGGAGGCAGTGAGGAGGCAGGCCGAGGTAGTACATAGGGAGTTCCCATGCACTTCACGGGAGGCAGAAGCAGGAGTAGTCTTCAGGATTCGGCAGCAGCACTCTGGAGGAGCGCTGCAGGAGTAGCGCTAGCGCTAGCAGTAGTCTTCAGCGCTGGGCGCTAGTAGCTGTAGTAGTAGTCTTCAGCGCGGGGCGCTGGTAGGAGTAGAGTAGCGTTGGAGAGAGAGATGACTGGCGGAGGCCAGGGGGACTTATCTGTGGCGCCATAGCTCCAGCTTCATCTTCGAGGTACCTGCATCAAGGCGCCAACTTCACAGGTTAGTACCAGACTGTGTGTGTGTGTGTGTGTGTGTGTGTGTGTGTGAGAGAGAGAGAGAGAGAGAGAGAGAGAGAGAGAGAGAGAGAGAGAGAGAGAGAGAGAGAGAGAGAGAGAGAGAGAGAGAGAGAGAGAGAGAGAGAGAGAGAGTTCTTCTTCTTCCTCTTCTAAGTCCACCATCTCTTCTTCACCCTCTCGCTACCTGACTTCTCAGTATCTGCGGACTACGAGAGAGAGAGAGAGTTGTGACTTTGGGACTTGACGACATTGGATCCAGACCCGACATTGGGATTCAGACATTTGACGAGGGATTATTTGGGGCTTGTGCCAAAGACTTTGTGTTGACGACATTCCCATCTTCCCCTCTTCTTCGTCTAACCCCCCTCTTCTTCGTCTGTGTATGGTTGGGGACTGGCGCATTCTTCCTGTGTGAGCGCAAGGCCCCTTCACACCATGGAATGATGATGATGATGATGTATGTTTGGGGCTGCATTGCAACATTGATTGTTCGGATCATTGGCATCTAAGTCTTCCGCTACGCTATCTTGTACTTTGCGAGAGAGGTCGGTTCTTGTTCTGGTCTGCACCGTTACGGTATGCAACACATGGCCTCCCTTCTCCTTCCTTTTCCTGATGGCCGTGGCTATGGCGGACCGCTAGGGCCTTGCCCCAACTGGTGCCGTCAGATGCAGCGCCCACCAAGGTGATGAAGATGGCAACCACCATAGCCAGGTAAGTGCCTCTGGCGCTCCCGTCTTCCTCCTCCTCCAGCCCGTGCTCCTCCCACCATAGCTGTGGTGGGGAGCTGGGCGCTCCTTCCCCAGCAGCGCTGCTTCAGCCAGCGCTCCAACCAGTGTGTCGCCAAACTTGCACACCGAAAATGAGGAGCTCTTTGCTCCTCCAGGAGATATAGCAGCCTGCTTGCCTCTTGGTTGGTGACTTCCAGGTCGCACGGCCTCCAAGCAACCAGTACCTCTTCCCTTTCGGAGGGAAACGTCTGATATCGCCCGTACAGGCCCTAGACTCAGACTGGTTGGACTGGTACCCGCCTAGACCTAGCCTACAACTACTGGGCCTCTAAAAATGCCAACTTTGTCTTCTTCTGCTCGGCCTCGAGTACCCGGCACATCTACCACTACTTAGTGTGGTACCGGCCTACCTGCTACTTGAGTGTTTCTCTGCGGGCCTCTTTCCCTGCCACTTGGAGTGTCTTCCCCGCTGCAACCCTCAATGTCACGGCCACAGGTAAGTACCGGCCCTTCAGGCCCTTCCGATCAACCAGGTGCCCTTGTGGGTCATACACACACTCAAACCGACAAGCACTCAGACAGGCACGCAGACCAGCAAGTACGCAACACACAGGCTTAGAAAACTCAGCAACAAGCGGAAAACTCAGCAAGTCATTCATTCCATTGGCAAAAATCAGAAATCAGCCGTGTGTCTCAGTCCGTGTTTGGCAGGTCCTTAGAAAAGAACG